TTTGACTAATTGATCCTTCCTCAGGTTTCTGAAAATATGAAATAAAGCACAAAGTAAAAGAGATGAAAATATGTAACATGTTCGGCCACTAAGCTATCCCACTAATACAGTAAAAAAGTGTTTCTTACTTTTTTATAGAAGCTGGGAATTGTGCCAGCAGCAGCACTTCTTTGCTGTTTCTCTTTAAAAATATCAAGCAAGATCTTCTTTGTTTCAAGCTCTTCAAAATTGAATAGAATCTATCCGTCAGAAAAATAATATATTGCTAGCACATGGCTGGCAAATTACCTCAGACCAAATTTAAAACAATTAACTATGCAATTAAGTCAAATGATCTTCGGGTATGTGTAAAACTCAATGCTGCAAACAATTGAATCAAGACCATTGTTTACTGGGAGAGCATTAAGCATTGAGTTATTTACAAAAGTCAAAAACCATTCCGTACTACTTCTGTATCTGGGTATGCTTCGTCCAAGGTTTGCACATACTTAGATTCATGCTTATGTAAATAAATAGTTGATAAAATCCACTCATGTTCCATATCTTGCACTGCTGAAGGGGGGGATAAATATGAGTGATAAAGCCAGAAATGTGGAATTTAATCAATCGACTAAGTGAAACATATGGGAAAGATCGGAGATTTAAGCTGGACTGACCCATGAGTGCTTCAGAGCCAAGACCTGTCCCGTCTCCGATGTAACGCCGGAGGTTGCGGACCCATGGCATATTCGACGGGGGAGATATCTTCCGGGACCCGGAGAGATCGTTACCGTCGACATCGCCTGAGCTACCGTACATTTGAGCTACAGCTCAAGAAAATCCAGATCCGAATGTTGAAGGTTCGAGTTCTGCTAATTGTGTCCCAAATGTAGCTAGAATCCGATTCGCAAACAGAGATGTTAGTCCTTACTGCAACAAAAATTGCTCTCTACAGCGTCGACTGGTTGCTGAATTTGAGAGGTTCCCTGTCCGCACGATGAGTGACTGAGTGAGGCAGGAGTTGCAGGACACCGAGGTAGAAGGTCAGAGGTCTTATTATTTGAAGGCAGCCAATCGTATTTCTTTCTTTAAATAAGCTGGATTATTTGTGATTTTGTGAGCTCTCAAAACTGAAAAATCATTTTTAGTGCGAGAAGCATACAATAAGAGCGGGTTAGCACGAAAATGAGCTGTTTTGACTGATTCTCCTGAAATTTTATGAAGTTCTGGTTGAAGTGGCTGCATTGGCTGATTTTGCTGATTTAAGAAAAATTATTTTTTAAATATATTTCATTATATGTAAAAATAGCTAAAATGGTGTAACTTCAGCTCATACAGCCAGAAAAGTAACTCAAACATTATTTTTTGCTTATTACACAATTCAGCGCGCGAAAACAAAAGTTACGTGTTTGGTAAAAAAGTTGGTCGATAAGCCTGATAAGCCGAAAAATAGTGTTGCCAAACGGATGTCATTTCTACATCATATTTATTCAAGGGGAAAGGGGCAAATAAGCACTCGAACTATCCAAAAAAGTGCACATAAGCCCTTTTGTAGGAGTTTCCGTCCGGCCATCGTCATTTGAGGAGGTTCCCGGTGGAATTTTTTGATGAGTTTTTTTGAGCATCTTATTCATTAAGTCTAGTTTACTCATATCGAATTTCAGCTAAAAATTCAACCGGGAAGACAGTCAAATGAATTTTTGAAGATAACTGCGTAGTTAAACAACACAGTATATTTCGGAAAATCATTTCAGTGCCTTCCCGGTTGAATTTTTAGCTGAAATTTGATATGGCCAAACTAGACTTAATGAAGAAGATACTCAAAAAATTTCATCAAAAAACTCTACTGGAACCTCTCCAAATGACGGCGACCGGACAGAACCTCTTACAAAAGGGCTTATTTGCACTTTTTTTATTAGTTTGAGGGCTTATTTGCCCCTTTTCCCTTTATTCAATAAATACTCCCTCCGTCCCGCTAGAATGTTCTCGTTGACGATTTACGATGTTTGACTGACGATAAAACAACTTAATCTATATTCACACTCCGATTATTTTTAGTAAATAAAATTTACATATTCAGAAATTACATTAAAGCAACTACAAAGTCTGATAAAGAAAATGTAAGTTTGATAAAAATTTGATATACTCCTATAAAGTAAAAGATTTAAAATGATTTAAATAGTGGACGAGAACCTTCTAATGGGACGGAGGTAGTAGTTTTTCTCAGGCATGCATTAAATGTAATCTAAAATAACTTGGGGTTTGAATTTTGATACTGAATTTTCTTTTTCAATAATCTCCCTAAAAAAGCTCTCGTTCAAAATGATAATCCCAGGTCGGCAATGAAATGTATGATATATTTTTTAGAATATTATCCGAAATAAGACTAAAAAGGTTTGAAAATTCCAAAATAAGACCGCCATGTTTTTATTCCCAAAATAGGACTAATTACTGTCATGTTTTGGTAGTACCAGACTTCAAACATGACAGTATTTTCCAAACTTGGCAGTAATTACTCTTATTTTGGGAATAAAAAACATGACAGTCCTATTTTGGAATTTTTTTAGTCCTATTTTAGGAACTTTCCCTATATTTTTTATTCATTAGCATCAACTATTAGTTCCAACTATTTGATTATGAAAAAATAACGTTTTTCAAGTTTGAATATAACTTTTACGATTTTACGATAAATTAATCTTTAGATTATGGGAAAACTGTCAATTTGGTCCTCATACTTTCATGGAAAAGTCAATTAGATTCTCGTACTTTTAAAAAGATCAATCCAATCCCCAAACTTCGTAAAAAGTCAATTAAATCCATTTGCAGGTTACTTGTCATGTTAGCCGGTCGCCTGCTGACGTGGCGCACATGTGGCGGCCCAATCAACAAAATTATTGCTGACATGACACATACGTGGACCGTCATGTGTGCGCCACGTCAACGGGTGACCTGCTGACATAACAAGTAACCTGCAAATATACTCAATTGAAAGTTTTTACAAAGTTTAAAGATTTGATTGATTTTTTTAGAAGTATGAGGACCTAATTGATTTTTTCGAAAGTGCGAGGACTAAATTGACAGTTTTTTCCTTAAAAGCGTTGGATGTGAAAAAGAGGTTTAAATCATTTCGAACAACTTTTAGGTGCGGCGATTGAAACAAATGTTTGATATGTAGTACTAATGAATACAAATCAGATCATAAACTTCATTTCAACCTAAAATAAAGCTGGCCTTAATAATTACGTGAATGCTACACTGACATTCATTCAATCATTCACAATTCAATGGATTAGTCTCTAACAGCTAAGATATTAACAAGCCAATATCTTGACAATTACGTGAAACTAAATTCTAATTAGAAATCTTAACATTAATTAGAACTCAATACCCAAGATGAGAATTATGATCTATTTTATCGTATCAACTTAAATTAAGTTCAATTTATGAGTTGTTCAGGGCTTGTAACTTTCAATATTTTTGGGTTAGTAATAAAACTTAAATGGTTTCTTTACGATAACTTAAATGGGTTAAGAATGTTTACCACTAAAATACCAGATAAGCAAATTATGTAAAAACATTCGAAGTCAAATTGAGTTCAATATAAAATTTATGTTTTATGTTTGTTCATTATTACTCGTAAACAATGTGATTTATTTTACTTTAAGAGGTCATTCGAGAGGATAAAGTAATACGTAGTTTTATCAAATTAACATGCTCATTTTCAATCATTACTCGTCCTAAAATTATTAACGCATCAATCTATCACAACATCATGTAGGAGTTGATGATTAGAATAAAGTCAATGAACCATTACATAATAATAGAATGAAACTCTATTGTTTCAAAATGTTTCATTAAAACTAAAGTTTTGGGCAAACCCCATGGCCTTGGACACTCACAATCGCATGTGCTGTTTAGAGGTTCCGCCCCCATTTTCTACAAGGAGAGACGAACAAATTGTCAAATACTCTTGTTCCTTCTTTGTGCGCAAAACCAGATGAAAATGAAGTCCTGTCTAAGGTTACTCTTCTCGGATTTTCTTTAGCATTCCTAGTTCATACAATCTTATATGGCTTCAAAAAGATTGATGAAAGTCGAATGTTCTGTCATGTAAATCTCTAATCATACCTTCACTGATCAAGTGATCAGTATAAAAAGGCTGCCTAGTACATCAAGGCATCCCCGGAAGGACCCACCACATAGATGTACTACAAGGGACAAACTTTCCCCGTGAAATTTTAACAAGAGCTCACTCACAAGACTTCAATTCTTGACCTCTCTGTCACAAATCAACATAACATCTTAACTGGTGCACTAAGACGGCAAGACTCCCCTACTCACCAGCCAATGTATGCTATGATAAAACTTACCACGGGAAGAACAATACAAACAGAAGCACCAAGACAAAAACAAAAACAACAAATGCTATGGAAACATTACAATGTTTTGCGCGCTGTGATTTTATCAAGAATGGATACCATCATAATAAAATATGTGAATAATGATTAATGAGTACAATGAATAGACCTTATTCTTTCTTTTTTGTCAAAGAATTGATGTAGGTCTCATTTGTTTTTCAGCGGATTGCTCCCTAAACGCTGCATTTTGCATTGTTTTGCCATTGAAAATAATTGGCATTCTGATCAAACCACTACTATCCAAATGAGGGCATAGTAGGCTGCTCCTAACACTAGTACTATCAAAATTTGACTGTGGGTTGTAGAGACTAGCATTACAAACGAATGATAAATGGGGAGATGAAGATGAAGAATAACACGAATTTTACAGTTAATCATTCTGGTAAGATCAAAATCTTTAATAAACAAATACTGAAATACCTTAATACTACTAAATTTAGATATGTGCTCAAACTGTCAAAGTAATTTAGGTCTCTTGTGCTCCTCCATCTTCGTTTCAAAAGGATTTGTTATTTGCTATGATAGTGAATTTATGATAGTGAAGGCGAAGGGCCGAAGGCCGTCTGAGAAATATCTTAACATCTAATAATGCTTACGAAATAATAGAGGTGTAATTTTAGACCAAAAATTCTATTTTATCAGTTTATTGTTCCAAAAAATAGAACAGGGGCATATATGTCATACATAATATAAGGGTATACTTGTTTCTTTACCCCTTTTCTAAAAATTGAGCAAAACATGTGAAAACAAATTATCAAGTCCAAAAAAATACAACAAAGGGTTACATCGAAAATGCTTTTACATTTGTGCAGAGATTACAGAGAAACAAGAACCTAAATTATTTATTAGATGTATTCCGATTGTTCCACAACTTACGCCCATGCCCAGGACATCACATAGCTTAATGAAGATTAAAAGGAAATTCAATCTGCAATTGATTTAATAAATAAAAAAGGCTCCAAATAATCCAGCACTCACTTTTGCAATAGAAGTGCACTGCATTGTGCCATTATCTTTGAAGCCCTGGTGATGGAATCAGTCATGTAAAAGTTGTCAATTGCAGGCTTGAATGGAGTAGTTTTACCCAGTTTGTTAGTGAAATCCGATTCCAAGGATGGCCAAAATGTGGCAGGCTCTCTCTCGTCTAAGCTCAAGAGATTTGGAGCTACAGTACTAATGCGGGATCTCACGGCCCCAAGTGAATCATAGGGCAAACGTGCCCCTGCTACCTCAGAGAGAGCTCGAATAATCTTCCAATCTTCCCTGGCATCACCAACTGTTGGGACTGCAGGCAAGGTCTGTTGTGCACACCCCTCAGTGTTAGCGTAAGTCCCTTCCTTTTCACTGAATGCTGCTGCAGGCAAAATGACATTAGCACGATACACGCCGCGGTCCCCATGGTGCCCCTGGTAGACCACAAAGGCATCGCTCGGTATCTTGTCCAGGTTCACATCATCAGCGCCCATCAGATACACAAACTTAGAGGATCCCACACTCTCGCTGGATTCTGGTACAAGTCCAAGGTCTAGGGCAGCAGCTTGGGCAGCATTGACGAGCAATACATTAAACCCGATCCAATCAGGCCGCACAACATTCCCTGCCTTCTTTGCAATGGCCTCCACTGCGGAGAAAACAGCATCATTGTCACTCCTCTCAAAGATTCCAGCACCAACAATAATTGCTGGGTTTTTGGCATTTGAGATTGTTGAGAAAAAGGGGGTGGCGGCCCTCAGCCAGCTCAAGAAGAGTTTCAGGGCCAGTGCCAAGATGCTGACAGTCATAGTTGAAATCAGTGGGTGGGCCAACGTAACCTACCTTTGCATTGGTTGCACGAACTGTCTTGCGGATTCTTGCATTTACCATGGCAGCTTCTACCCTTGGCTGAAATGTGTGATTAGACAAGGATACAATATGACCAGTACGAAAAACATATCCACAATTTATATAAAGCAAAAAAAAGTATATGACTATGATAGAAACAGTAAACAAAAGTGTGACTTCTAATATATAGTTGCCATAGTTGTATTTTTTGCAGTGACCCTAGTGACTTCGTTCAATGTTTACACTGCACTACTGCAGTGACCATGACACTATTTCCGCAGTGGCTGTAGCGACTATGTGTCATTTTTTGTCCATGATTTCCATCTCAGTAATATTATAGCAAAAAACCTTCATATAAATAATACTACGTATACTATTGACTACACAACCACTCTTTCCACTATTGCAACACAAACACACGCAAAGCCTAAGTACCCTCGTGTGACAAACAAGTACACAGATTATTAAAATCGAGGTATCTAATGAGACAGGACAACTGTGACTGATGAAAAGAGATAGTTTATATTACCTGGGTGCCAACCAAAAGGAATACATCGGCCTTCTCAAGACCACTTATGGTGCTATTCATGATGTATCTGGATCGTAGATCAGCATTGGGGCTTGGGCCACTTCCCTCACACCACACATTATTTGAACCCATTCTGTTTAAGAAATCTTTCAGAGCTATCATTGATTCAGCATCGGACAGCTTTCCAGCAATTCCGACAATCTCCTCTGGTTTTACTTGACGGATAACCTCTGCAACTTCAGTTAAGGCATCACGCCAGCTCACAGCTTTGAAACGTCCATCAGCTCCACGAATCATGGGGTCGTTTATCCTCTGCCTCTTCAAACCATCATAGCAAAAGCGAGTCTTATCTGATATCCATTCTTCATTTATGTCCTGAAAAATTATACATTTTAAAATTAAAATAAAGCACAAAATATTATGTGTTCCCAATTGTTAGAAACATATTTTCATATGAAATTATAATCCTTCCTTAAGGCTGTCTTTCAAGCTCTGTTTGGTATTTAACTATTTACTTAGTTATTTACTTATTTACATTAGCTATTTACATAAGTGGTAAATAGCTATTTACATTATCAGATCAGTGAGAAATATAGAAAATTATAAATATGAGGTAAATTATACCTCTTGAGTATCTTTTGGACTTTGGAGTAAGTTAGACCTAAATGGAATACGGTACCAAAGTCTAGGCCAAATGTGGTATGTTTGTTTATTAATTATTAGGCACCCCATAGTTTAGGACCCGTTTAGGATCACTTTGGCCCATCTCAAGCTGTCTTGCCCATTTGGGGATGAGAGACATGTTAAGAATCCCATATTGTATACGTACAATGTGACTAGTGATATATGAGTTTAAGATTAATTATACCATTGAGGCTTTTGGAATGAGTAGGCCCAATTTAATACGTAGTAGTAATTATAACTGGTCTGTAAATGTATACAATGTCAAATAAAAAACTAATAAAAAATGATTCCTACATAAGTTTTACCTAAGCTAATATGAATAGTTTTTTACATTTTCAAAAAGCTAAATCATGTGGCAAAGGCTGAAAGCTCTCCTAAAACCCTTTACCAAATAGAGCCTCATCACTGCTACAGGTATGTAAAAATAATATACAAGTAAAATAAAGCACAATAAATCCAATACCTCGTTCAGTCGTGGAAGAATACGCATGACCTCTGGCCCTCTGCTGTCTATTCGGATGTTTGATCCCACTGCATCAGTGACATCAATGCTCTCTGTACCTTTCAACTCCCAGTTTCGGGCTTTAAATGCAAAAGGCTTTGAAGTAAGGGCTCCAACAGGACAAATATCTATAACATTTCCAGAAAGTTCACTGGTCATGAGCTTTTCGACATAAGTCCCAATTTCTTCTCCGCTGCCACGACCTAGCATGCCCAGATCCTGGACTCCAGCGATTTCTGTCGCAAACCTGACACATCTGTGGGGCCAAACAGTTAAGCAGACAAGTTTGTTTCAGAATATTGCGAAGAGTATTACAAGGCCAATTCAAGTTGCGAGAAAAGTACTTAAATCAAGCATAATATGTGTCTATTATATGGCTGAACAACTCTGTTTTATTTTGATCAATTAGCCACATCAGTATGTAGAAAATCAAAAATCATAAGCACTATCTAGAAAGCAATTGCAAGAAATAGACTACCTATAGCAGCTCCTTTAAAAAGCAGCACAGATAAATGTAGATATGGGAAAAATACTACAAAAAAACTAATAACTGACATGGCTATATAAACAAGTCTTTGACCATAAAAAAAGTCCAACAACTCCAGTGATCATGACAGGGTAATCTAACCAGTGATATCGGGTCTTTGACCATAACAAAACTTTAAGAAACCAAAGAAGTATTACACAAGGTGTGAAGAAATAGGCGATGAAATAAGACCTTGTGCATTGAATGCACCGAGTCATGACGGTCTTCACCAAAGGCCCAAGATTCTTATCAACCACAGAACGCTTAATTTCAGTGAAACGGCCACGATCAGATCCAAAAGCCATGGACTGATCCTGAAGATCACACTCTCCACCTTGATCACAAATTGGACAATCCAATGGATGATTCATCAGCAAAAACTCCATCACTCCTTCACGTGCCTTCTTAGCCACGGGCGTGTCAGTCTTAATTTTCATACCTAAATAAACAAAACCCTGTATTTTCAACACTAGAAGAGCGAAGATAACAACAAATGCAGATATCTAAACTAAACATTGAAAAAACAACTATATACTGACCGGGAAGAGCTGGCATAGCACAAGAAGCGACAGGCTTTGGAGATTTCTCAACTTCAACAAGACACATACGGCAATTTCCGGCGATTGAAAGTCTATTGTGGTAACAGAATCTAGGAATGTCCACACCTGCAACTTCACAAGCCTGTAACACCGTCATTCCCTTGGGGATTTTCACCGGATATCCATCGACAAACACTTCTATGGCGTCCTCGGGGTTGGGAAAGTGGACCCGCGCGCCTCCGACCGGTGTCCGAGGAGGTAAAGGATCTGGTTCTGGCTGTGGTGCTGCAGCTGCCGCCGATGATTCTGGGGATTGGAGTTCAGGTTTGGTTACAATAGAACGGAGGAGAAGGTAATGATCTCTAGGGTTTGCTGCTCGGGTTCTGATCAGGCGTGAAGCTAATAGCCCTAACCCCATTCTGTCAGCAGCAACTAAGCTCTTGAGAAGATGAATCCAAGTACTATGAGATAATCGGAAGCAGAGAAATGAATTGTTGCAAGCGTGTGTTGGCACCACTCTCCCCACACAACAATGGGGTTATTACCTTCCTTTGTTATTAGTCTCCATGGTTGTTATAGAAAAGAGGACGGATATACCATTAAAAGTGAAGATAGTGGTTAAAAATATGATTTTTTTACTCCGCCTCCTCTCAGAATTTTACCAAAGTTTGATTGATACAATAAATAATACTCCATAGAATGAAAACGGAAAAAGAACTACAAAATCATTGATTAAAAAGGAATAAATATAAAATTATAAAGAATGAAAAAAAAAAATTACAAATTGTAAAATTAGTTTTACAAAGCATCATTATATGCAATTTTCACTCTAATAACCGTGATTATATGTTCATCATAAAAGTTTGTTTTTTATCTTTAAGTTTATATCAATAATACTTTAACACATCTTGTTTTTAAATAAAATTAAAGTAGTGATGTCTCTACAAACTTATAAGAGTGAATAGAGGTGAGGGTATTTTAGGTGTTAAAAATGTGTTGGTGGTATTAGAAGGCTTTAAGTGCTTGTACATTGTTCTTTTAGCCTTATACGCTAAACGATACTTTTCCATTTTCAACTCACTCCATTAAAACTTTGTCTGTGGAGCCGCTTGTCCTCATTTATTCACTTCCACATCTGCACCAGCTATGCCGGCAACAAGGTTTGGACATTTAGCCTGCCCGTTGAACTTCATCATGTTGGTTACCATTTACATCTATTCCCTCTTCTCACGTTGTCCATCTCCACCCTCTAAGCCATGGATTAGGTTTACCCCTCTTAGGCCCAAACCAAATTTCATCATTCATCGTCTGCTCAAGCAAATCTCTGACTCTGTGTGTTTCACAGTAATTTTGCTTGTGAATTTGTTTAGAAATTCACTAATACTTGCTAATCCAACTCGTGATGGATGTTAAAGAGCATTCCGCATGTCTGCATACCCCCACCTCCCTGTATGTTTGGTAATTGGTATCATGTACTTCATATATAATAACACACAGGTTAAGTTTCGTTTTTTATTTGTTTAAAGTGTTCACTACTGTGGAATTTAAGAAGGTGTTTAATTAAATTTCTACCTGCAAATCGATCATTTTTATGGTTTATAAAGAGGACATGATATTCTGTGGTTTATTTGATGGTCACGGTCCTTGGGGATTATTAAGCCTTGGCACAGTGGACGTGCCTCGGCATATATTGCTACTCAAGGTCTGTGAGCTGGGATTTTCCAGCTCTTTAGGGAGTAATTTGATGGAAGAACAGATAAACCTTAGATATTACTTGCTCTGATTTAGTTATCAATTATTTAGTGAGTAATTTGATGGAAGAACATGGAATTAACTGCTCGGGTACTTTAGAATTCCCTTTAGTCTTAATTACTCGCTCCAGATGGGAATTCTCAATTAATTCTCATTTTACTAATTAGTTTGTTGTGCTTAGTTGACAAGTATTCATTCAATTATCTAAATCATGTGCTACCATATTAGATGTAAAAACAAATATAAGTGTAATAAAAATATCAAGTGTCTTCTCCCTGTTGAAATTCTCTAACCAAACAATTCATTATAGTGGGGATTTTCTTTTCATTTTTTCCTTAAAAATAATAACCACTCTCGAAAGTAAAGTATGGTATTACGTTTTCTTAAGATTAACTTTAAGTAGAAAGGAATGAAATTAAAAACGCATCAACTTCATGCAAGCTTATGCTTTTTAATCACATTCGAAATATTTCAATGGTTAATATATCAATTTCATTGGGCATCTACCCGATCGCGCAACGCGCGTGTAAACACTAGTAGTTAATAATAAAAGGTAAATGTTAAAGTAAGGATAAAAATGTAAAAAATTTATGTTAAAGTAGGGAGTTTTTCTAGTGAATTTTGCGGTCCGTTCTCAACAATTGATCTTTCACAAGGAGTTTGAAATACATACTTGAGACCTGTTTGTTCACACTAGGTTATCGATCGTTTTGCAAGTTTTGTGTTCCAATAAGATGTTACACAACTTTGAGAATAACATTTGATTTGGCTACGATAGATCAGTCTTGGAGGAGATGATGAGGGATTGGTATTTTCCGGTGCAAGACAATCGAAAGAAGAAAAGGGAAGGGAATACATGATGATAGACAATACTACGTACTACATTTGCGAAAATTGTTAGACTCACCGTCATATCTCTATAGGTATGATGATAATGATTTGACATTGGTCAAGAGAATCACGATCAAAGATATCGAAACTACGCATTATATTTTTTAAGATGATATAAATAAAGTTATAGAGGATGATTCATTGTATTTTTGCTTAAACCCTTCATCATTAAAGATGGGCTAAAGTTCGAATCAATTTCTTAGAGAATATGAATGTAAATACAAACTATCAGAAAAAGATAGATACAAGAGTTTATATAATTCAATTACAAAGGTTGATGTAAGAGTATTTTTTTTATCTCTCATTTTAACACTATTTTTTGTGTGGAGGATTTTAATGCTAAACTATGATTTTTAATATGATTATGAACATCTAGTACAAGTAATACCCGGTATTTGTTTGTATTATATATATATATATATATATACACTCCCTCCGGTTCTAAATAAACTTCACACTTTTCTTTTCGGGACGGTCCAAAATAAACTTCACACTTCCTTATTTCCTTATTTGGCAAAGAAATCTACATCAAAACAGTGTTAAACAGTGCTAAACAGTGCCAAACAGTGTCTCAACAGTGCCAAACAGTGTCTCAACAGTGTACTCTACAGTAACGTCAACTTTATTTCCTTAATAACTGTGAAGTCAAACACTGAAGTTTAAAAAGAACCGGAGGGAGTATATATTTGCAGCAAATAAGCTTAATTGGTATTAATCAAATTTTGGCTCAAGGCCGAGGATTTGACAACCAAACTTGACAGCAAATAAATATAAATATTATATTATATTTATATTTATATTTATTAAAGCTTAAAATAGTCCACACTTTAGGCCCTATATATATATTCATTGTTCACTATTTCAAACACACCTACACGTACTAGTATAACCTTTTTAGGTAAAAGCCAAAAGATGCATTTATTTATTTAACCTTAATTAACAAGAAAATAAGATAATCTGTTGAGCTCAGATAACATTGACCTCCTCTGACGAACATAATCCGAAACTCGACCCCCCAGGAAAAACCGTCGTCTACGGGGGAAAAAATCTACCGACCGACTCCGATTATTTTTCTTGTTTAGGAGAAGCTACGACCCGGTTAGTTTTCCCATCCAATCGGCCCTTTTCATATCATTTCTTCGCATTTTCGTGTACTCCGCCTACTCGATGGCGTCCGGTTTTTGCTGTTATCTTTTTCTAATCATTCGTTCATCGAGGGAATACTGAACTCCAGAAGTGATTTTCAGGTCGAAGTGCCTGCGTTGAACACTGCGTCTGTTTCAGGTACTTGTGATTGTTACTTGTTAAGCTTTTAAACTTTTAGTAGGACTTCCGTTCATTTCAGCTCTTTTGTGATTGTTAAGCTTTTGAACACTATTTTGCCGTCTCTATTAAATCTAAATTGTCAATCTTTTTTGTGATTTCGACTGATAACTAATTAAATACTCCTCTGTATATTAATGGGAAAAAACTGAAAAATCATATCTTGTCAAACGTTAAAGTCACACAGTTTCATCGCAATAAGAACGGACAAAGGAGGAACCATAACATTCTTTTCTTTCGTTTAATTTTTACAGTGCAAATGGAAAGGAGAATTTGGTTAAAGACGTTTATTTTCGTATCTATATTTCTGCTCTCACCCGGAAGAGGTAAGCCTATGCATTCCGTACTTTGCTGCGCCATAATCATAGTTTTCATTTCTCTATTGGATTTGATGAGCATTGTATCTTCTTTTCCTTTTTTTCGTAGTATGATTGTAAAAACGCATTTATAAGTTATTTCTGTGGGTACTTTTGGCTGCAGAATTTAAAATCAGTGCGAGGTTCAAATCTGATTTGGCAGTTTATAACCACACCCTCGCCATGATCTTGGTGGAATATGCTGCAGCAGTAAGTTTTCATACAATCGCACGGCTCTGTTTTTTGATATGCTTTACTTATTTTATTTTATGGTCCGGGACCAATCAAGTTAACACACACAATTGCTTCATTTGCAGGTCTATATAACAAATACAATTGAACTCTTTACTTGGACTTGCTCCATTTGTGATGGTTTAACCAGGGTATCATATTCTGATTATGATTATACAAAGCTTATGGGCGGAAACTTTCAAGTTAATATGACACGTTTTCATCAATCATTATCAACAAGAGTTTCATCTAATAGCATTGGTTTTACTGAAACAGGGATTTGATATGATTGAGCTGATTGTGGATGTCCATTACTGCCTGCAGGTCTAGTCTGATTTCACTGTAGCTTTATCACTCCTATCCATTTCCATCTATAGCTACAACTATAATAGTTTATATCTCATGCAGGCATTTGTTGGAGTGGATCCTAATATTAATGCTATTGTTGTTGCATTTAGAGGCAGTACAAGCAGGTTTTCCCAGTCGTATGCAAAACATTGTCCTTCCTACACATTAATGTCTTACTAGTTCCGGTTGTTTCATTTTATTAGCATACAAAACTGGGTTGAAGATCTATACTGTGTTGGATTATTTTCAAACATGAAAGATGATTGGTTCACATAATAATGGATTAATAATTTTGTGGCTGATTTTATACTATATAATATCATTATGTATGTACGTATTTATGCATGATGATATATATAGTCAAAGTTTACACTCACACGTGTAACTTGAATGACCCATAATAATATTAATTATTATTTTAATGTTTATCTATTTGAGATAGACATGATGGTTGGACACAAGGGCAGTTAATTAACTACCGTGCAGCCAAAGAACACAAGGAACGGACATGTACCCCTATATATATTGATTAGCTTGTTGTGTTTTATACGATTCATTTTTTTTTTTGTTTTCTTCTTTAAAAAGTTTTCACACAAACAAATTCATATACACATTCTGCAGATGTGTATGATACATTAGCAAGGCTATTAGTTACAAAGTATTTAGGATTAGATTATTAAGTGCAAATAATCTAATGAGGCTTCATTGTATCCTAAAGGCAATTCGTTGGACCATATGCACTATTTATGTGGGACGTATTTCGCCTAAAGGAAAGCGATTTTGATCGTGACTTGAAGCCGGAGTAGTTCTACCTTCGTTTTTCAGTTTATTGTTAATTAAGTAGTATTTCAATAAAGTTTAGTGTTCTAGATTTCCAACAATCTTTAGGCGAAATAAGTTTGTTTCTGAAATGGCAAATCTGCAACAATTAACCACCGACTTTGTAAAGTTGGAAAAATTTGAAGGAGGAAACTACATGCGTTGGCAGAAGAAGATCAAGTTCCTGTTGTTCAATCTGAAGGTTGATTATGTTTTGACCACACCGAAGCCCGAGGAATCCGAAAGTGAAACCATGGCTGACGCAAGGGCGAGGATCAAGTGGTTGAACGATGATGAAATATGCAAAGGACATATTCTAAATGCTCTATCGGATGGCCTGTTCGATGTGTACCAGAACACCCCTACCGCAAAAGAACTGTGGGAGACTTTGAACAATCGCTACTTGACTGAAGATGTGACTAGTAAGAAATTTCTAACTTCCCATTTTATGAACTATGTCATGTCTGATGACCGTCCTATCTCTAATCAATATGATGAGATGATGTGCATTTTAGGACAAATGAAACAGTTAAACTTAAACATGGATGAGACTATTTCTGTTTCATGCATCCTAGACAAACTGCCTCCCTCATGGAAAGAGTTTCGGAAAAGTCTGAAACGAAAGAAGGAAGATATGTCTCTACGAGACCTCGGGACACATATTCGTGTTGAGGAAGAGACAAGGAAACTTGAAAAAAGGGATCAACCCGAATCTTCCAAAATCAATATGATTGAGGAAGGAAAGCCTGGACAGAATTCTAAACATTCTGGAAAGAAAAGGAAGTCAAATGATGATGGACCTAAGGAGAGTCACAGCAACAAAAAGAAGAAAGTCACATGTTGGTACTGTAGTAAAGTTGGCCACATAAAACGTGATTGCCGATTTTACAATCAGAAACATGGCAATAAAAGCAAAGATAAAGGCAAAGAAAAATTTGTTGCTGTTATCACAGAAGCCAATATGGTGGAAGATGATGGTTCCTGGTTTATTGATTCTGGTGCTACCAAGCATGTGTGCAAGGATAGGAGTATGTTTACATCCTATGAGGCTCTTCAAGATGGAAGTGTCATGTACATGGGGAATTCTTCTACTGCTATGATCAAAGGTGTTGGACAAGTTGATCTGGAATTTACTTCTGGAAAAATATTGTCTATAACTAATGTGTATCATGTACCTGATGTTAGGAAGAATCTTGTGTCTGTAGCCCTCCTTAACAAGCATGGTTTTAAACTAGTGTTTGAGGGTGATAAATTTGTACTGACTAAAGGGGGGGTATTTGTAGGAAAGGGATATCTGTACGAAGGCATGTTTAAGCTTAATATCAATGAAATAAAGAACTGTTCTGCTTATATTGTTTCTTCTTCTTCATTATGGCATTCGAGATTAGGACATGTTAATACTAAACGTATGAAGGACATGGCAAAGTTAGGCTTAATTCCAAAACATGATGCCGAGTTGGATGATAAATGTGTAGTTTGTGCACACACAAAAATCACTAGAAAACCTTTTAGTAATAAAGTAGAACATTCTTCTTCTTTATTGCATTTGATACATAGTGATGTTTGTGATTTTCATAATACTCCAACAATTGGCAAGAAAATGTATTTTGTGACCTTCATCGATGACTACTCAAAATATTGTTATCTATATTTGTTATCAAGTAAAGATGGAGTTCTAGAAAAATTTAAAATATACAAAAATGAAGTAGAGAATTTTTGTAATTGTTCTATTAAGTGCCTAAGATCAGATAGAGGAGGAGAATTTCATTTTCCTGCCTATTGTGAATCTGTTGGGATTATTCATGAAACCACCATGGCATATACTCCACAACAAAATGGAGTGGCAGAAAGGAAAAATAGAACATTAACAGAAATGGTGAACTCTTTACTTTATAACTCTGGTTTGAGTAGTGGATTTTGGGGGGAAGCAATGTTGACGGCATGTCATGTTTTGAACCGAATACCTCACAAGAAAACTCATGTTACTCCATATGAATTATGGAAAAAGAGAAAACCAAATTTGAGTTATTTGAAAGTGTGGGGTTGTAGGGCAATTGTTCGCTTACCTGAACCTAAAATTAGAAAGTTGGGAGTAAGAGCTGTTGAATGCATATTTGTGGGATATCCTGAACATAGTAAAGGGTATAGATTTCTTGTGGTAGAACCAAATGAATTTATTGGTGTTAATTCTATCATTGAGTCTAGAGATGCTATTTTCTATGAGAATAGTTTCAAGACTATTTCTAGGTTTAATGGTTCGCATGAATCCCAAAAGGAACATGAGGTTATTGTCTCTAAGAGAAATCTTGAACAAGAAGAAGTTCAAGAATCTGAACCTGAACCCGAACCTCAACCTAGAAGAAGTAAGAGAACTAGAATTGAAAAATCATTTGGACCCGATTTTGTGGTTTACTTGGTTGAAGGGTCTAGATCTTCTCATTGTACCCAAACTATGATTTCTAGTAGTGTTGAGCCTGATCCCCAAACTTTTGATGAAGCTATGAAATCACAAGATGTTTCGTTTTGGAAAGAAGCTATCGATGATGAAATGGGTTCTATCATGGGTAACAACACTTGGGTGTTAGTTGATTTACCCCCAGGGTCTAAACCTATAGGGTGTAAATGGATCTTTAAGAAAAAGATGAAAGTTGATGGAACCATAGATAAGTTCAAAGCTAGATTGGTAGCTCAAGGCTTTACCCAAAAAGGAGGTATCGACTATTTTGATACATATGCTCCTGTTGCTAGAATCTCTACCATTAGAGTTCTTGTAGCTTTGGCTTCTATATATGGTTTTGTCATCCATCAAATGGATGTGAAAACTGCATTTCTCAATGGAGAATTGGAGGAAGAAATATACATGAAACAACCTGAAGGTTTTGTCATGCCTGGACAGGAGAAGAAAGTATGTAAACTCATACGATCTTTGTATGGACTGAAACAAGCTCCAAAGCAATGGCATGAGAAATTTGACAAGGTTATTGTATCCAATGGATTTGCAATCCATGAGTCAGATAAATGTGTTTATAGTAAATTCAGTGGCAATAAAGGTGTCATTATATGTTTGTACGTTGATGACATGTTGATTTTTGGCACTGATATGGAATCAGTACACCATGTTAAATCATTCCTATCTTCTCAGTTTGAGATGAAAGATATGGGTGTTGCTGATGTGATTCTTGGAATAAGGATCAAGAGTATTGACTCTAAATTGGTTCTTTCACAATCTCATTATGTGGAGAAGGTTTTAAAGAAGTTCAATCAATTTGATGGCAGTCCTGTAAATACTCCTTATGACCCTAGTATTAAACTGTATAAGAATACAGGAAGAGCTGTTAATCAGTTAGAATATTCTAGGGTCATTGGGTCATTGATGTACATTATGACGTGCACACGACCAGACATTGCTTTTGCTGTTGGGAAACTTAGTAGGTATACTAGTTGTCCTAGTAACATTCACTGGAATGGTGTTAATCGAGTACTGAGATACTTGAAGAAAACCATGGATTATGGTTTGTACTATAGTGGTTATCCTAGTGTGCTTGAAGGTTTTACTGATGCTAGTTGGATAACTGATCGAGAGGATCACTCTTCCACGAGTGGTTGGATATTTATGCTTGGTGGAGGTGCAGTTTCATGGGCCTCCAAGAAACAAACATGTATCACTGATTCTACCATGGCTTCGGAATTTGTGGCTTTGGCCTCATGTGCTAAAGAAGCTGAATGGTTAAGGAATCTCCTTATAGAGATTCCTGTGTGGCCAAAACCGGTGTCACCATTGTCTATCCACTGTGATAGTGAGGCCACTCTGTCTAGAGCCTATAGCAACATTTATAATGGAAAATCCAGACACATTGGACTTCGCCATAGCTATGTACGACGATTGATAACTGATGGTGTGATAACTATAAACTTTGTAAGATCGTTTCAGAATTTGGCTGATCCGCTTACAAAGGGATTGTCGAGGGACTTGGTCTTTAAGACCTCCAAAGGGATGGGTCTTATGCCCGTTTAATGATCACCAATAATGGAAAACCAACTTGACTCTTAAAACATTAAGAGTACTAGTTCAATGGCTAAAGTACATTATATGTAGTGATTGAAGCACAAATAAATTTGTAATATCTCAAAAGTTCTAGTGCTTGTTGTTCGTAGTAGTACAGAGAGGATGAGCAGAAGGCTCTTAATGAACTTACAAGTGTTTACAGCTGCGAGAGCACAAAGTTCACCTATATGAGTGTTTAAAGTGGTGCCGCTTTATATGAGTTGTGGGCTTGACTCTATATCACTCCTGAACAGGATATGGACACATGGCCAATTCACGTGTCGGCATTGTAAAAATACTACTGTAACGTTGGATAATTTATGTGTGTAATCGTCTCCGGTTAGTTATATGGGAAATTGGTTCAATGATCCGTCAACCATTATTTCTTTATTAACTTTGAGATGTATACACTATATTTTGGTTCAAGTCGTGAGACACCAATATTAATGCATAAATTCCTAGCCTTGTTTATGTACATTTTATTTTAGCTTGTGATTTTCTTTCATTTTGAAAATAGGGGGGAAATGTTGGATTATTTTCAAACATGAAAGATGATTGGTTCACATAATAATGGATTAATAATTTTGTGGCTGATTTTATACTATATAATATCATTATGTATGTACGTATTTATGCATGATGATATATATAGTCAAAGTTTACACTCACACGTGTAACTTGAATGACCCATAATAATATTAATTATTATTTTAATGTTTATCTATTTGAGATAGACATGATGGTTGGACACAAGGGCAGTTAATTAACTACCGTGCAGCCAAAGAACACAAGGAACGGACATGTACCCCTATATATATTGATTAGCTTGTTGTGTTTTATACGATTCATTTTTTTTTTGTTTTCTTCTTTAAAAAGTTTTCACACAAACAAATTCATATACACATTCTGCAGATGTGTATGATACATTAGCAAGGCTATTAGTTACAAAGTATTTAGGATTAGATTATTAAGTGCAAATAATCTAATGAGGCTTCATTGTATCCTAAAGGCAATTCGTTGGACCATATGCACTATTTATGTGGGACGTATTTCGCCTAAAGGAAAGCGATTTTGATCGTGACTTGAAGCCGGAGTAGTTCTACCTTCGTTTTTCAGTTTATTGTTAATTAAGTAGTATTTCAATAAAGTTTAGTGTTCTAGATTTCCAACATACTGGAAGCAGCTTGATTTAAATTATCCAGGAATGGATGATGCAATGGTGACTGCTATCCCAAATTGTCTGGCCCTTTAAACTCTTTTATGATCACACATATTTGCATACATAAATATGCTTGTATATACACATATATCATCCTTGCTTCCGACTTCCAGGTGCATCATGGATTTTATAATTGTTATAATGATTCCAAAATTCGTACTGGGGTGTTAAATGCTGTTAAAGAAGCCAAAACATTCTACAAAGATTATCAGATTATGGTGACAGGACATTCAATGGGAGGTGCATTGGCATCCTTCTTTGCGCTGGATCTCACTGTAATATTACCAAGTCTCCAATCATTTGAAAAATAATAATGAGTATTTATCCATGTATCTTGTCTTTCCTTTAACTCTATTAGTTAGTGTTTCTTTTCACCTTATGCAATTATCCAGTGGCATGTATATCAAGGTGTTGGTTTCATGATAATTAACATTGTACTATTATTTAGGTCAATTTTGGTGCTGAAGATATTCAAGTTATGACATTTGGACAGCCTAGAATTGGCAATGCAGCATTTGCATCCGGTTATAGCCAGCGTGTGCCAAACACTATCCGTGTCACACATGGGCATGATATTGTGCCTCATTTGCCCCCATATTTTAGTCTGTTTCCTTCAAAGACGTACCATCATTTCCCTTTAGAGGTAATACCTTGGTTTGCCCTTCTTTTAATCTTCTACTCATTTTCTTTTGCAACATGTCGTTTCTACTTAGCACCATAGTTTTAAAAAAAATTATAGCCTTGATATTGGTGATGTTGTAGGTTTGGCTTTATAATTTTGGTTTTGGAAGTTTAGTTTTTGCATCAGAGAAGGTTTGTGATGGTTCCGGGGAAGACCCAACTTGCAGCAGGTAATACTTTTCTTAACCAGAAGTAATAATTATCTCATACAGCTTATATTGAAGGAATGAACTTTCAGGTCAGTGACGGGGAACAGTATTTCAGATCACCTCTCATACTATGGTGTTCATCTAGGAAGTGAGGAACCAATTTCATGCAGTATTGTCATTGACCCTCGTATTGCTAGTTCTAGGACACAAAATCTTATTGGGAACGTGGTTTTACCCAAGATATCATTGCTGGAGTCATAAGAATGTACTCAGATATTGTTTACCAGATATATCATATATGTAACTGTAAATAAGATTTGGCTGATTACCTTCTGGCCCCATTGCATATGCGTAATTGCGTTGTCGTCTTTATGCCATGGTAGGTCCGAAAATTATTTTTTACCGCATGTATATTTGTATTTTTGGTTTGAGAAAGAAATTATACTAAAATGAAGAAAATATTTCCTTGGTCCTGATTAAAAACATGGAGATCTCATTAGGCTCATACTAATGTGATTGAAGCCCTATCCTATTGCGGTCACATGGTTCAATTCCCTCGAACTCCTTTTTTTGTTTTTATAAACATTGCAAAATTCATTTTTTACTTTATTGTTTTCCCATGTTTTATTGTTTACTGCATAATTCATTTATTTGAATGTTTAGATTAAATGGTTAAATAATTTATTTGAATGAGTCCTATTTTGAGAATAAAACAGTGATGGTCCTATTTATGATGAACTTTATCCATGTTTTAGTCCTACTTAGAGAATCTTTCTCATTATTAAATTTGTGTATTTGTGAATGTTTTTTCCCCAATATTTTACGATTTAGGATGAAAAGATATTTCGATAATGTACCACATTTAAAGAAATTCGGAGTACGGGAGTAGTTCTGATGTTAATTCAAATGATTCGCCATTAGTAAATGAAGAATTGAATCAAGTAATTGTTGAAAGTGAAACTAATTTGACATATAATCTACATATTCTGATAATGTCCCAAATTTTTAAAAAATTTGGAAGTTAATCTTGGATTGAGAAAAAATGATTACTTTCATCCTAATGTTCAAATGTTCAAGACAAGGTATGCCGCAATTATCTTCAAAATGGCCGTTTCACCCCGGGATCATGATTTTCCTTTTAAAGTAATTGGTGGCAAATGACTAGATTCGTTTCAAGTTGGTTTGATAAACATAAATGTTCGAAATACAGTATTGCCAAAGATGTTGCATTTGTTTACCATGTTACTTGTTTATGAATGAGTGGGAAGTTGGTTGTGGTCATTTGTTGAGAATAGGGGTTTTAGATGCTACATTTTGCTTACCATGTTATTTCCCTTTTAAGATGTTGCATTTTGTTTACCATGTTATTTATTTAATTTTATATTAATTAGAGTTACAATAGAGTAGAGATCTCATGACTATTAGTTTAAAAGATCCATCCCTACATTCTTTAGGCGGTTAACCAACTTGGGTTTCTGCAACCCTTTAATTTTTTAAGGTTTCAATGTTCATTTTTTATGATGCGAGTGCAGTGTGGGATCTTGCATATGGGGTTCAAAATTACTTCATTGTTAAGATATTGCATAATAGTATAGTTTGATCCAACAATTGAAGGTATGTAATTTTCAACAACAAATTAACAAATAGGATTAAAGATAAGATATACTACCTTCGTTTTTTAAAAATGCAACATGTTGAATTTTACAATATTCACATTTTTCTACTTTGACTACATTTTATTTATCAATTTATTAGAATTATTTTATTTTTAAATTACCGTTCAATTCATCTCATAACAAATTTTCAAAAACTGATTTTTTTACTTATAGAGAATAAGATATATTGACGATCAAAGGTGTGCGTTGGTAAATGTGCAAAGTTGACTATTTGCAACTAAAAGAGCGGAAAAAGTATTATATAAAAATACAACACATAAATTATTACATCAATTCTATATGTACTTTAACATTATATTCTCAAAATTTTGAATGTTCAACTGAACATGTTTGAACAAAGGATGTCTGCCACCACGGGGTGTCTGTACCATATTTGGTATGAATGATTGTGCTTGCCCTGAAGTTAAACACCCATTGCTTTTCAAGGGATTCGAACTAGTGAACTTAGAGAACTTTTTGGTTCAAATCACTTGAACAACCCTAGAAGGTTAAGGATCCAATGAGTGACATTGCACAACGAGTAGCATACATAATAAACTACTAGTATAAGATTGCTAACAATATTGGCAAGTGGGAATGGACCTAGTGTATCACATTCCACACTTGATATCATTTCATTCTCATATTATCATATGAAGGTCTTGGAAACTTGACATTATTTGACTAATTGGCGAAACACTAATAAGTTAGTCACACGAAGTCAGGAAATAAGACAATGGTTTTTCAAACCTGATGTTGTTTGAAAAAGCACTATTTATACTTCTTGTTGAGTAAAAAGGGCACTCTTTTACTTTTTACTCTTTGTATTTAACCCGTTAGAAACTAAGAAACTATAAACAAGACAACAAAATATCACATCACAATTTCCTACCCTCCACGATAGTTGTTATTCTTTGAATGCCAACTCCTAATTAGTTGGTTTTGGTAACTATATACAAAAGTACATATACTTAAACATACTTACAAAGTTGCAAATGAAGTTGTGATCACTTAAAAGAAGTACGTAGCAGCAAAGAGCAAATGGATATAAGACTCCTCCTTCCTTTTAAAAAAGGATATAAGAGATTCCCTTTGTCCCTAAATAAATACTCAATTTGACTGCATGGAGTGATGGAGATTAACAAAGCAATTCCCCATAATAGGAATAAAATATATACAAAGTTCATAAATATGATATATTATATTTTGTTCCGTATGGTAGGATATAGCCACATTTCAGCGTCATGAAATGGTGCATGGATTTTCTCAACAAGGGTGTATCATGTATGGATTATGGGTATACATTAATCCATTATTGAAACAAGGGAGAGAAAACTGCGGGTGGTTGAAATTAAGACTCAGATTCTGTTAGAACTATACTAAAATTACATCATGCGACAGATTGCTTCTTTTGTCGCAGTTTGCTTCTTTACCGGGCGGGAAAGCATTCTCTTTTTATGGGAAAGGTTTGACGAAAAAAGGGAAACTTGGATCAAAACTTTACAGTGATTTATAAGAATAAATGGTCAGACTCAGCAGTCAGCAAGCACAATGGAACACAGATTTCCCAAAGCACTTTGCTTTACTTGTTCTTTTTCTAACAGAATCACGAGAAGGTTTTGAACCATGAGGTGATATTTGTACTCCATCCATCATATTGATCCTAGGTCCTTCCAGGATAGCTTTGGGCATCGATAGTGCCCACTGCATGCCCCAAATAGAAAGTGGCCTCATGTATCCCAAAGATCTGAAGTGCCCATCCATAGTCCATCCTTCTGGAGTTTGAAACGAGTATCTGCATGAGAAAATAGATTGACAACGGGAACAAGTCCGTCCTTTAACCTTGTCTGGGACAAGTCATAATTTCATTATTTGATATGGAGTATATAGTATCAATGATATAAGCCTGTCCTTTTACCTTGTCTGGAAAACTGGGACAAGCATTTTAGCTAATTATATATATGCAAGGAGATCAATAACAGCCTTATCTAACACCAGGTTGATTTTTTTTGTCTATTGTGTAGCTTGCTATATATAAAATATCTCTATGTATCTTAGTGGTTGTTAAAAACGAAGACTTCATTAGTTCTCCAAACCAGCTATATAAAGCCAATTTGAATAAGAACTTCAGTATTATCAGCAAGGTGCTTCAACATTATGCTTAGCAGAAGACATGTGAAGGGGGAAAATAAAAACAAAAACTGAAGATCGAATTAAATAAAAAAGTTAAAAACTTACCCAAAGCCCTCCTCAGACCAGCCTGCAATAAATATACCTTCAGCAGTTTTGAAGGCCTGATCCTCCATCCCAGCAAGAATCATGGTGGCAGCAACACCATAGGTGACTCCAGTCCAAATTTCACGGGATTGCATGCAAGTCTCATCCACCTTGCCATTAGGGTGCATTCCGTTTACTGCACCCATCCTCCCTCCTTGAACTTTCATGACATTATAGTCATATATTTTTTGGAGGGTGCATTGGATTTTTGCATAGTCAAAAAGATCAGGCAAACCTGAAGATGCCATATACCACTGTCCTGCTAGTTGATCAGCTTGGATTGACTTACTATTACTGCTTGACCCACTGTCATAGTTGAAATAAGAGCCATTCCACAGCTTAGTTTCAAAGGCTGACTTAGCTTCTACAAATTTGCCTTTGCACTTTTCTGCAAAAGCTATGTCACCAAGTTGCAAGGCCATTGACGCAGCAGCTTGAAGTGCAGCAAGCCATAAGCAACCGCAGTAAGCACTTATTCCATGAACCGTCCAAGCATCATATGTTTGATCTGGAAACCCATCATTTTCTATAAGGCCATCATTATCCCGATCAAATTGATCCATGTATTCAATTGCAGCACATACAGAAGGCCAAACATCAGTTGCAAAAGAATAGTCTCCTGTTGCAGCAAAGTCTCTATACACCTGAAGCACAAACTTTGGATTCAGATCCTTCCATTTACTTGTATCATGTATGTTGTATGCATTCATTTCATGCCACGGGTCATGGGTTCCAAGATCATGCGGCACAGCTCCTTTGGCCTTTCGAATTCCACTATTTCCCTCTGCTAAGAACCGAACTTTTCTTCCATCTTCACATAGGACAGCTCTCGCAAACTCACGCTGTATACTGAGTTCGATTTTTGGGAACAATGCAAGAAGGGCAAATGATGCATAGAAGTGAACATCATAGGTGCACCACATAATATATTCTATACCTTCCAAGTACAGAAACCTACCAACATCCTCATTATCCACAGGCCCTGGCCCCAACCATTTACTAGAGGAATTGGAGAAACCATTACCATTTTCACAACCATTTTCAAGGTGGGCATGAGTCATATCTTCTGTTTCATTTACATTAGTTTTGTTGCTCTCCGCAAGTCCTTGCATAGATTGACTATCCTGTGAATCTGCATTAAAAAACCAGGATGAGCACAGAACAAGAATGATGAGCCTCCATATTCAATGCACAAGAGATTCAGCAAGCATTTCCTTTTTGAGCTCAAAGCTTTTGTCTTTGCAACAGAAAGAATATGCTTGCTTTCATTGCCCCAAACTTTGACAGGTTCAGTAAGCTTTTTAACACAAAAATTCTGTGGCAACATACTCTTGGGTCATATATAGGGAAATGTGATTTTTAACATTGGTTCAAGAATATAGTGTACACGGATGAATATGATAAAACCATATATTCAAAGCTTGGGGTTTAATGCACCAAACCCCCTTGTGATATATAAATTTGGCGCATTTACCCCTTGTGATTTCAAAATTGCGTCTAACCCCCTTGCATTATAATGCACCAAACCAACTCTAAGAAGAAATTTAATT